TGAGAACTTTCGGTTGGCACCAAGGAAGGCTTCACTTCTCTATCTTCATTTGAAAATTTACAAGTCAAGGCTTCTTTAATATATTCGTCCTTTCCATTTACTGTTGAAACATCCCAGTTGTAGAGGGTTTTTTTGGGGGGGGAAAGTTCAAATTGTTCTTGGATTTCTTTCTCTGCATAGGTAATTCCATCTCCCCCCCTCTGTACACGTTATTTTTCTCCTTTCAGTTTCTTTACATAGACAGCAGCGTTCCCTCTAAGGTGAGTTGGTGTGAGCTAGCTCACAGTTTTTTAGCCTCCAGCTCACACATTTTTGTCTTCGCTCAGGAACGGATGGCTCCAGAGCAAACAAATTTATGCCGTAGCCAAGTCGCTCGCTCACAACTTTAATGCCAACAGCTCACAAAGTAGAATTTTTGCTCACGAGACTCCATAGCTTAGAGGGAGCATTGGTAGACAGTACACAAGATATCTTCCTGGTCTGTTTGCATGTTGAAAATGTTTTTTTTGTTTTAAAAAGCTCAATTTTCCCTGCACTTTTTTCTTTTGAAGCCGATCCAGCTGATGTCTTAATTGCTGGATTTCTATCCAGACTTTTTTCTTTAAGGATTTTTTTATGCTGGCCTTCTAGAGTCTGAATCCTGTCAGTTATTTTCTTAATTTGTTCCAGTCTTTGCCGCTTTGTCTTCGAGGCAAGATCAATTAATTTCCCTCTCATATAGGCTTTACTTGCTTCCCATATAGTAGCCAGAGCAACTTAAAAAAAAAAATCTGCTCAGCCAATCAAATTCTTATTTATTTATTTGTCACATTTGTATCCCGCCCTCCCTGCAATGCAGGCTCAGGGCGACTCACAATCAGTACACAAATACAATTAACACAACATAAAATATCTATAAAAGGTAAAGGTTCCCTTGCTCGAAAGCCAGTCGAATCCGACTCCAGGGTTCCGGTGCTCATCTCCGTTTCAAAACTGAAGAGCCAGTGCTGTCCGAAGACGTGTCCGTGGTCATGTGGCCGGCATGACTAAACACCAAGGCGCATGGAACGCTGTTCCCTTCCCACCGAAGTGGTACCTATTTATCTACTTGCAATGTCTTGCTTTCGAACTGCTAGGCTGGCAGGAGCTGGAACTAGAGACGGGAGCTCACTCCGTCATGCGGCACCCGGGTCTCGAACTGCTGAACTACTGACCTTCAAAATAAATAGAACTACTGCAATAGTGCAAGTAATTGTAATAATAATAACTATAGTAACTCCTAAGTGTGTACAAAATTACAAAAATACGGTAACATTATTTCTTTAACAAATGTATCTAACAGATGTGATGGAAGAAAATCTCTGGAGTTGATATTTCGTTTCGTGGAGACTTCTTCCTACATCAAAGATTCCTGATGAAACACATTCTACAGTTATTTCAGATCAACATACCTGATGCTAATTCATAAACATATTTGCACAATGCATCTCACTGTTTTGTTTTGTTTTCCTTTTACTTTGCATGTATGAATGGTACTTTTATAAGTGTGTACAAGTGTGCTTAAGACTTTTGGTCATGCAAGCCGAAATAAAGTTGAGTTGAAGTCATAATAATAACTATAGTAATTATAGTAACTCCTGTGTACAAAATTACAAAAATACAGTAACATTATTTCTTTAACAAATGTATCTAACACATGTTAGTTATTAATATTATTACAATTTACTTGCACTGTTGCAGTAGTTCTATTTATTTTGGCTTAACCATACTGCTAACCCCTTATTCCATTTGAACTACCGACCTTCCACAGCCTGCAGTTCAGCGTCTTAACCACTTGAGCCACCAATTCCATTATAGTTAATACAATTTCATAAAGTGCTGAAGATGATAGTTATTCGAGATGGCGTACTTTCAGAGCTTACTTTCAAAGCTTAGATGTCGTTCTGCTCAAGCTCTTCCTACGGCTCAAGCTAGATGTCAGAAACCAAGGCTGGGTGTCAGAAACCAAGGGCCAGGGCTCTACAGTGGTGCGGCCCCCTAGCTGAAAGCCTGGCGGAAGAGCTTCGTCTTGCAGGCCCTGCGGAACTGTAAAAGGTCCCGCAGGGCCCTGACCTCCACTGGGAGATCATTCTACCAGGATGGGGCCGCCACCGAAAAAGCCCTGGCCCTAGTTGTAGCATGCCTGGCAGCCTTGGGGCCTGGGAGGGTCAGTTGATTTTGAGACCTCGACTTAGTGCTCTCTGGGGCAATGCTCCCTCTAAGCTATGGAGTCTCGTGAGCAAAAATGCTACTTTGTGAGCTACTGGCATTAAAGTTGTGAGCGAGAGATTTAGCTACTGCATAAATTAGTTTGCTCTGGAGCCATCCTTCCTGAGCGAAGACAAAAATGTGTGAGCCGGAGTCTAACAAACTGTGAGCTAGCTCACACTAACTCAGCTCAGAGGGAACACTGCTCTGGGGTATATATCACCTGGCCCACCCACTTTCTAAAGCCACTCGGGGGGGGAACCAGAAAAGGTGTCGGGGGACTCGGCGCCATGCTGGAGACAACAAAACAGTGACGGAGCAGGTGTCTCTGAACCAGTGGACTGAGTGGCATATGCAGGGCTATTTTTGGGCAGGAACGCACAGGAACAGAGTTCCATCTGGCTCCCAAGTTGGCCATGCCCAGCAGGAACTCATTAACATAATAGGCCACACCCAACAGCAGGGACGCATTAGGATTGGCTACATTAGGGGTGTGTGGCCTAACATGCAAAGGAGTCCCTGCTACAAAAAAAGGCCTGGTTTTGACAACAAACAAGGTAAACAGAATAAGAAGCAAAAGGTGGGTGTGGCTGGATGACCACACTTCTGGTAACATGGGGGTGCGGCCTAATGTGCTAATGAGCTGTGCTGTCAGGGGTGTGGCCCAATATGCTAATGAGTTCCTGCTGTTGGGTATGCCTTATTATGCTAATGAGTTCCTGCTGGGCTTTTTCTACAAAAAGAGCCCTGGATATATGAATGAATGAGTTGGGGTTAGTTCTGCCACAATTGGTAGTCTTTTTCCCCTTTTCTTCCATGTCAGCCGGTCCCCCAGCCAAGATCGAAAGAGAGCTCGCCGGGAAGAGGATCGGGACCGGTGGTCTGAGAACGCCAACCGAGAGAAGAGCTACACCTCCATCAAAGACAAGGAGCCGGAAGAGGCTGCCGGCGAGAAGAACGAAGGTGACGACGAGGACCTGCTGAAGCCCGTGTGGGTTCGCTGCACCCATTCGGAAAGCTACTATTCGAACGAGCCGATGGATCAAGTGGTAGGCGTTTTTTGAATGACTGTGGGAAACGGCATCTTTTTTCTTTTTTAGGAACTGTGTGGGGGTCGATTCAGAGATGCGAAATGTCCCATCTGCCCTGAGCCCGCTTTGGGGAGGGCAGAATAAAACCATCTAAATAAATAAATAAGAATGATCGTTCCTGGGATCTGTCACTCCAGGAACCAGCAGCATCGTCCCAAACCTCTAACCATGCAAGGTTCTGTATTATAAAATGCACACCTACGAGAGAGGAGAACTTGTCAGATTGCGGATTTCTGTTAGGCTTTGGATGCAAACCGAAGGGTGCTTTCTTAGAAGTAAGCCCCTTTGAATAACATGCGACGTACTTCCAAGTACCCTGGTTTCGGATTTGCTCCCTTTGTGTACATGTGAACATCTTCAGTTCATCTACTTGAGGTTTCCAGAAGTAAGTGCTGGTAAATGCTCAGCCGAAGAGTAATTCCCCCCGCCACAACATAAAAAGTAAACATCTGTGTTGGTTGTTCTCTCTCTCTCTGTGTAAAGGGCCCGTCAGGTCTCAGCTGGTTTGTGGCGACCCCAGCAAAGGGCTTTCAAGGCAACTGGGAAGGAGAGGGAGTTGGCCATCGCCTTCCACTGCAGAGGCTTCCTTGGTGTACTGACCTTGCTTAGCTTCTGAGATCTGATGAGACTGCATTGTGCCACGCTGCCTCCTTCCTGCGGTTTGTTCTACATACCCCAAATTAGGGATGTGCAAAAAAAAAAAAAAAAAACAATTAAAAACAATTTTCTGGTGCACAAAAACACCC